ACCTAGCTGGGATGTCCCTGAATGCAGTCATGTCCACTTAGCTGGGATGTCCCTGAACGCAGTCATGTCCACTTAGCTGGGGTGTCCCTGAACGCGGTCATGTCCACTTAGCTGGGGTGTCCCTGAATGCGGTCATGTCCACTTAGCTGGGGTGTCCCTGAATGCGGTCGTGTCCACTTAGCTGGGGTGTCCCTGAATGCGGTCGTGTCCACTTAGCTGGGGTGCACCTCTGTGTTCTTGCTGCTTCCTTGAAGGCTCCAACAATGCCTGGATGGGTTGGGAGAAGAACATGGTTTGAGGGAAATGCTTCATTCAACATCCCTATTGGGACTTTAGTGAGGAGTAGGTTTCTACTGAATTATTATAGACCATATTTCACCTGAGTTATAGCCATCAAACCTTGCTACAGCTTTTTCAGTTCTGTCATCACTAGGAACTTGCGCCTATGTGGCAATAAACTCTGCAACAGGTCAGACCTCCTTGACTACCCGGGCAGGTAGAAGGGGAAATACTGCTTCTCCCGTGGGTGGGGCGTTATTTGTAATGTAATTGTAAGACCACTTCCTGGCAGCAAAACATTTGCCTACTTCCTGCCCATAAACCTTTAAGAGGGAAAGTGCTGGGTGTGGTGTTTGCAGAAGGTGACATTGCTAGCCTGGTCTCCCAGGAATCATGTGGCCAACGTAACAGCCAGCCTTAGCCCAGCTGACTCTGGTCAGACCTGGTTCCTCCACCCCCTGCAACTTGTGTCCCCTGGGGCTGTGCTGCTCTGGGGGTGTACCCCCTGCAGAGCCCAGTGGGAGGGGCCCGAGGGTGTTATGCAGATGTTTTTTTCAGAGGAAGCCAAAGCCAGCTGAACCAAGGTTGGGGACCCATGGTCTTCTCCAACCTCCTGCCAGCATTCCCCTCACTATTAGTGCCCACCGCAGCTGGGAAGAGGCCAACATCCCCTTTTAGGATTTGACAAAAACTCCATACCAAGTGGCTTTGCACCTACGCACCTCTTTGGGGAAAGGAATACTTTTCAGTTAAAGGTATTTCTGTGCAACCATAAAAAAGAATGAGTTCATGTCCTTTGCAGGGACATGGATGAAGCTGGAAACCATCAGTCTCAGCAAACTAACACAGGAACAGAAAACCAAGCACCGCATGTTCTCACTCATAAGTGGGAGTTGAACAGTGAGAATACATGGACACAGGAAGGGGAACAACACACACCGGGACCTATCAGGGGGTGAGGGGCAAGGGGAGGGAGAACACTAGGACAAATACCTAATGCATGCGGGGCTTAAAACCTAGAAGATGGGTTGATAGGTGCAGCAAACCACCATGGCACATGTATACCTATGTAACCAACCTGCATGTTCAGCACATGTATCCCAGAACTTAAAGTAAAAAATAAATAAATAAATAAATAAATGGATTTCTGGCCATGGTAAGCAGGTGAAGGGGTTTTATTTTGATTTGGGACAGGGTAATATTGAAGAGGGCTGCTCCTTTCAAAGGATATCAAAGGCTGACCCCCACACAAATTCTCCCCCTTAAAGATGCCTTGGGCAAAGGTGTGTCAGAAAGCGAGGTGCGAGGGCTGTCCCATTTTCCTACCCTTCTTTCTTTGAAATTCACTGTCATTCCTGGTTCTCAGATGTGGGCCCCAGAGCCTGTTTCCAAAGGACTTCTCACTGGGTGCCTCCCACCTCTTCATTCCCTGGATGTCCTGTGACCTGTCTCTGGGCAGGCAACCATGGCCTCCTGCTCAACTCAGACTCTCCCAACCAGGATAGAGTCAGATCGTGTGTGCCCCAGGCCTTCTCAGGAAGGGCAGGGATGCCTGGATGCAGAAGAGGCCCTGGAAATGAGTGACAAGGCAGGTCTTTTTATATTCGTGTGAAGATGATAGTTAAATCACAACTCTGCAAGACTTGGTAAATCTCTTTAGAATGTGAGGTCTTTTCTTTTTACTACTGTGGTGTCAGGGGGAAGTGCTAACGTTAATTAGAGACTCCATGGACTAAAAGTGAGGAAAGAAATAGCCAAAATTTACTTTGAGTTAGACCCCTTCCAGTTCTAGCCATTTCTGTAAGCTACATGCTATTTATGCCTAATAATCATGAATTAAGACAATGACACACACACACACACACACACACACACACACACACACACACACACCCCTATTTGGGATTGATTAGTCTTCTACTGTACCACAACACCCAATTCTACACATGTGCCCAGGCTTCTGGAGTTGCAGTGAGTTGCCTTGTGCGTCGGGCAGGGGAGTGGGGACAGTTTTCCACAGCTTTAGAACAACTAGCAAGCACCCTGGCCTTGAGCCTGAGTGATGGGACTCTGTTCGGTGTGCTCTGGAGGAGCAAAAAGCTGAGACCAGTCAAGAGACCCAGGGCCATGAGCCTGACCAGGAGTCTCTTAACCCGGGTGCTGATGCAGCAAAGATGCTGTCTGGACTTGGCAGTGGGGATGGAGAAGAAATGATAAATTTGAGGCACATTTATGAGGTGATATGTTAACATGGGTATGAGTGAAATGGACGAGTTGGGTAACTCTAGTTTCAAACATGGCCCATGAGTGGATGGTCTCACCATATATTGAGACAGAAGACGCAGGTGAGGTGAGGATGTCGAGTTCAGTTTTGGACTCATGGAGGCTGAGTGCCTGCGGGATATCAGGCGGTGATGTCCATCCAGCAACTGGAGGTTCACCTGTGAGGCTTGGGCAAGATGTGAGGGCTGGAGGGAAAGGTGCTGGAATATGGAAAGGCATCAGTGTGGAAGGTGGAATGTACAGATAGGGGGCAAGTATGCAGGAGAAGAGAAGTGAGCTGAGGATAGACACCTGAGGCAGTCCACAGAGGAGAGACAAGATGTGGCTGGAGAGGTGGGATTCTGCAGTACAGTTCATGGTGGTGAAGGTGTGGTTCTTTAAACAGAGGGATTTAAGTGGAGGTGAATGAGGAAGGTGGGATCTCATTCCCAGGGCAGAGTTTTGTCAATTGGTCTGTATAGATGAAATCTACAAAATTAAATTGGGTTCCAAGTTCTTGGCAATTCTCTTGAATGAAATTGGATACAATGATTATATCTTCCATTTAAGGTTTATTGAGATATGTTGGAAATTGCACATGGGCACTCAGACCCCACCAGTTCTCAGTATCTGAACCTCCTGAAGCAGCCCTAGGAGCTCTGCCAGCCTTTCTGTCCTGGACCCTTGGGCTAGTACTTCCTGGGCTGCCCTTCTTGCTGCTCCCTATAAGTACATCTGTACCCTCCTCCCAGTCAGCCTGTTTTCATCTGAAAAAGTAATATAATCATTTTTAAAGGCAAATGATACTACAAGATATTCAGTGATAAGTAAATCCTTCTCCTACCTAGGCCCCAGTCCTCAGTCCTTTCCCAGTCTACCCTGCAAAGCAACTCCTGTTACCAGCATCATGTGTATACAATATCCTTTTGGAGACACTACAGCTGTGGGCTGAATCCAGCCAGCTGCCTGTTTTTGTAAATAAAGTGTTATTGGAACTCAGCCACACCCACTCATTGAAATATAATCTGTGGCTGCTTTCCCACCACAATGGGCAGAGTTGAGTAGCTGTGACTGAGACAGTATGGCCCACAGAGCCAAAAATATTTACTACCTGGTCCTTTAAGAAAAAGTTTAGGCTGAGGGTGGTGGCTGATGCCTGTAATCCCAGAACTTTGGGAGGCTGAAGTAGGAGGATCACTTGAGACCAGGAGTTCAAGACCAGCCTGGGCAGCATAGTGAGACTCCATCCCCACTAAAGAAAAAATTAGCCGGGCATGGTGGCACACACCTGTGGTGCCAACTACTCAGGAGGCTGAGACAGGAGGATCGCTTGAGCCCAGGAGTTCAAGGCTGCATTGAGCCATGCTTGTACCACTGCACTCTGGCCTGGGGGACAGAGCAAGACCTTGTCTCAAAAACAAAAAAGAAAAAAGTTTGCTAGTGTATGTTCTTTGTATGTATAGACATGTAAGCATACTATACATGCTTCTGCATTTTGCTTATTTTTATTTCACAGTATTACTTAGAGATTGTTCCCCATTGGCATGTACATGCAGATTGGTCTCAGACCTTTTCACATAATATAGTATGGATGTAATTTGATCAATGCAATGTTCAAGGATGTTTGAGATATTTTCTGTCTTGCCTGAATACAAAACGTTGTAGGGAACCTCCTTGTGCTTGACTTTGCACACACAGGGGATCTTCAGGGTGGGTATCTTTAAAACTAACAGGTATTGCCAAATTGCTCCCCCCCCAAGGTAGTTTTTACGCCCCACCTACTACTCTCAGTGAAAAATCAGGCCCTTTTTATTTTAAGGGCTAAATGGCTAATCCCTGTGTGGAAATGGGTGTTACCAAAATAAAAAATAAGGAAAATATGCAAGTTTACCCAATTTTGTTATCTATACATTTTACAGTCTCTAATACTTAGTATAGCTCCTTTGGGTGTCTGCCCACCACCCTTCTTTCTGAAGGTGGGGTTCCCTGGGCTTTCCTTGTTTGACTTCAGACCTGGATCTAATCGGGATCTGGAGGTAGAATCAAGACAAATGTTCCCTTTGGCCTCAGGTGAGTCCTTTGCCCCTCTGAGGCCCTCTTGATGACATCCAGTTCTCTAGACCTCTGCCCAAGCCAGAGCAATCCCTCCTCAAATATGCTAAGCAGAAATGCAGACAATATAAGACACACTATATTTATATTTTAGGAGTTTACATTACCTTCCCTTCTATTTGGAAATCAACATCTCTCAAAATTAGGTATAGTTAACACAGAATACCCCCAAAATACCACCATTCTTCATAATTCCATCTGCTTATTTCTGGATTCTTTCAAGGGTAAAAACCTTGTTTCATTCATCTTTGGGGCCAGCATTCTGCCTAGTATGTGGTAGATTTTGGATAAACTGACGTGATTTTCTCTTACTATTCCAACTGGATTATTTCTTTCTCCTCTTACAGAATGAAGATATTCAAATGTTATTTTAAACATACCCTACAGCAGAAAGTTTTCATCCTGTTTTTAACCCTATGGCTGCTCTCCTTGTTAAAGCTTCTAAACGTGAGACGGCTCTTTCCGCAAAAAGACATTTACTTGGTTGAGTACTCCCTAAGCACCTCGCCTTTTGTAAGAAACAGATACACTCATGTTAAGGATGAAGTCAGGTATGAAGTTAACTGTTCGGGTATCTATGAACAGGAGCCTTTGGAAATTGGCAAGACTCTGGAAATAAGAAGAAGGGACATCATTGACTTGGAGGATGATGATGTTGTGGCAATGACTAGTGATTGTGACATTTATCAGACTCTAAGAGGTTATGCTCAAAAGCTTGTTTCAAAGGAAGAGGAAAGCTTCCCAATAGCCTATTCTTTGGTTGTCCACAAAGATGCGATTATGGTTGAAAGGCTTATCCATGCTATATACAACCAGCACAATATTTACTGCATCCATTATGATCGTAAGGCACCTGATTCCTTCAAAGTTGCCATGAACAATTTAGCTAGGTGCTTCTCCAATATTTTCATTGCTTCCAAATTAGAGGCTGTGGAATATGCCCACATTTCCAGACTCCAAGCTGATTTAAATTGCTTGTCGGACCTTCTGAAGTCTTCAGTCCAGTGGAAATATGTTATCAACCTGTGTGGGCAAGATTTTCCCCTGAAGTCAAATTTTGAATTAGTGTCAGAGTTGAAAAAACTCAATGGAGCAAATATGCTGGAGACAGTGAAACCCCCGAACAGTAAATTGGAAAGATTCACTTACCATCATGAACTCAGACGGGTACCTTATGAGTATGTGAAGCTACCAGTAAGGACAAACGTCTCCAAGGAAGCACCGCCCCATAACATTCAGATATTTGTTGGCAGTGCTTATTTTGTTTTAAGTCAAGCATTTGTTAAATATATTTTCAACAACTCCGTCATTCAAGACTTTTTTGCCTGGTCTAAAGACACATACTCTCCTGATGAGCACTTTTGGGCTACCTTGATTCGGGTTCCAGGAATACCTGGGGAGATTTCCAGATCAGCCCAGGATGTGTCTGATCTGCAGAGTAAGACCCGCCTTGTCAAGTGGAATTACTACGAAGGCTTTTTCTATCCGGGTTGTACTGGATCTCACCTTCGAAGCGTGTGTATTTATGGAGCTGCAGAATTAAGGTGGCTTATCAAAGATGGACATTGGTTTGCTAATAAATTTGATTCTAAAGTGGACCCTATCTTGATTAAATGCTTGGCAGAAAAGCTTGAAGAACAACAGAGAGACTGGATCACTTTGTCCTCAGAAAAGTTATTTATGGATAGAAATCTCACAACCACATCATGATAGTAAATTCAGGATGGAAATAAGAGGGTATGTGATAAATTGAGTCAGTATGGAATTGAACACTATACTATGCCCAATACTGTTTAAACTCAGTCCTCCCATACTTTAAAAGGTGTCCAAAATTCCATGCACAAGGGAAAGTGAGCTAGCCGTTGATGATATTAGCCTGCAGTTGGCTAGGTTTTTTTAATGTTTGTTTTTGCTTGTAATCTCACTGAGCTAAGTCAGAGATCTTAAACATTCAGTTAGTCCTCAAACATTATTGAGCACCTAACTGTATGACAAGCACTTTTTTAGAGACTGTGGCTTATCCTCATCATGGCAATCTCGGTATCTTTAAGTTCTCCACATAACAGTCAGGATTCTACTGAAGTGGTAATCATCCGATCATATAAACCACCCATTTCAGAGTAGTGTTTAAGTACTGTGACCAACACTCCACTTGTCTCTTAACTTACCTTCCAAGATATTTCTTAACCATTAGAGCAGAGGAGGAAAGACTCACTACCTCAGAAAAATCTCAAAGAATAGTCCAATTTCCTGCTTGCCAAAGCATAATCTGCCTTTTGGTGCATTACTTGGTCAATTCAGGGTTGAGGAGACTGTTGGGGGGCATTTATAGTGTATGAAAGTTAAGGAAGGGGGTGAGGATATGGGTTGGGACAGGTAGTACCTAAAGAGGAGCAAAGGGATTTATACAGTATTTTTATCATGTTACAAAACAGTATCATGAATGGCCTTTTTAGTTCAACTGTTTCTTTAAAATGCATTTACTGATTAAAAGTAAGAACTGACCAATAGCTCCAAGTGTCGCACACCAGAACATTAAGCCTAAGTCTTCAATTTGTAAGTTATCATTCTAGATAAGTTTCTTTACAATGGAATACTTTCTATGGAATCATTATAATTCTGTTTTATGGAACTATCAAGCTAAGAGTCACTAAACTTTCTTGAAAAGGTTGTGTGAAATATGACAGCTTTCTAAATTAATTGTTACAGTCATTTAAAATTTTTTTTTCTCTGGCAACTGTCCAACTGGAATCCAGATTTAAAGTGATAAAAGCTCTAAGTTTCTTGCAGTCTTTTTCTCAGCTTAGTTCCAGAGGAAAACAAAAAAAAACTAATTTTCCTAAGGACACAGCAAGAATATTCATTAAGGATATTTTCTAAACCCCACACTTGAGAAAACCACCAAATGAGTAATACACACACACACACACACACACATACATACATGTGTGTAATGGAATTGTTCTAAAAGTAAAATGTGGTAGGAATGGTGTTCTGAGAATAGGCGAGAACATTTTCACCAGTCTCTTGGGAAATTGTAGAACTCATGTAAAAATTTCTTGGTCATCATATGTCTCAATGGCAGCCTCAGTAAATAAAGATGTAGCCTCAGATATTAATTTAAAGATGTAGTAAATCAAGGCCAAAGTAGGACACTTTGGAAGATTTAAGTATTACATATTTTGAAATGTCTGTGTTCTAAATGTGAAATGCACTTTGCTCATTTTAAAGTTCATAATACTAACTGCCAATTGACACCACTTCTTGTTGCCTTTCTTCTCTTGAACTCATTTTTCTCCCTTTTTATTTACCGCCTTCAAATTACTTCATTCTTCAGAAATAACTATTTCCAAGCCCCATTCTTCAGAATAAGTAAACATTGTATAGAGCTAAGTTCTGCAAAAGATCCATACCAGTTCACTCGTGTGTGACCGTGAACAGGTAAGTCACTTTGGTCTCTATGAACCTCAGTTTTCCAGATATTTGAAATGAGCACTTGGATGCCTATCCTTGCTTCTTCCACACAAGTTTTGGGGGTTTTTTTTGTGTGTGTGAGAATCGATTGAAATAGTAGATGAAGTGGTATGAAAATAGGTACAAACTATTGACATTTCAATGTCAGAGCATGATACCTGTAGGAGTATAAGGCAAACAAATGTCCAACCCCATTGAAAGACTTAAACATTTACCTTTTCTGAAAAACTATTGACATATAAAAAGAGCCCCCAGTCACAGGGGCAACTTCTGTAACCAAATCTAGATCTGAGGAAACTCCTGTAACCCCATTTAGGGTTTCTTTCTAAGCCAATAGGGTTACAGGTTGGTACAGTGACTTACATTGAGAATTGGGCTACAGATACTTTTCCCACCATCTAGGATGAAATACATGAGATCCTGTTGAAATCTTGGTTTTTATGGCTTTGGTCATCAGAATAAACGTAAATGCTGAAAAACAAATAACCTCCTGATCCAGTGTCTTGCCTCCTGGTGAGAACTTATTCTATCCCCTGTTTATTGGGAAATTTCCGAAGTTGTTCATCACTTAAATGCCATATTCAAAGGGAACATGGAAGGATGAAGCGGAGAAAGTGCCTTTGAGACATTCACACATTTCTCTGGACTCAGTCTGTTAACATTTCAGGGAGCTCGTCAGATCACACCTTTTTGCCTTGGAAATCCTGCAGATTTCCTGTACGCCTTCCTATCTGATTCTTCCCTAAAACCTTTGGGTATGATTTCCTCCCTGGTCTTGAGAATGTCCTGCAGTCTGTGTTTTATAATTATTCTTCGTATTTATTGAATCTAGACTTTAAGTTATTCAGAGATCAGACCAGAACCTTAGTTTCTAAATTGTATGTGGATATTAAACAATATTAATAATGAAAGAGCTACCAAAACAGTCTATACTGTGTGAACAATCTCTTGTGATATTAGACGTATTTAAAGACCAGTGTTGCTGCTATTTTTAATATTTTGGTTAATTTAAGTGAAATGTACAGACTTAAATTTGAAGATTTATCTTGCCTTTCAGAATGTGAAGATCTACTTGCATATATTTTGACATATTTCATGGAAAATAAAAATGATAATCCACTTTGTGAATGTAAGTGAATGGATTCTTATGTATGTTATTATAAATGATTTTTGTTTGCATTGATGATGGAATGAGAGTTTTTATACATTTATATTGACTGGTCTCTAAATCTCCTACTATGTTTTCTTATCATTTTTGAAATACAGTTCCCATTATGAGAGTTTTAAATAGATTGGTGTTTCATTTTGTATTATGCTACTATTAGATGTTGATTCTCTGGTATTGTAAAATAAAATATGCTCCAAAAACCCAAATCCTTGGACTTTATGAGCTTTCCTTTCTCTGGTTTTGCTGATTCCCCACATTCTTTCAGTTTATGGCACTTGCCCAGTATTTAAAGAGCAGAGTTAATTTCACTTCAGTGTAAAAGACATTCAGCCTGCGTATTATACACAATATAGGCACATGAACTTAAGCCGTTTAATTTGGTAAAGTCTCAAAGAGTCTTCCAGGATTTCCCTGTCTTCGTCCTCCTTCAGGCTGGTTTCTCCTCTAAGATTAATTAGGTAAAACTCTTGTTTGCTTGATTACTTTATGGAAGTAGTTTTCAGTAGGGTAAGTTGAGCTTTTTATCTCAGGTCCCTCACTTCCTGGAAAATCAAGATTCTTCCCTTTCTACTTTTTTTCTTTTTTTTGAGACGGAGTCTCGCTGTGTCACCCAGGCTGGAGTGCAGTGCAACCTCTGCCTCCCGGGTTCAAGTGATTCTCCTGCCTCAGCCTCCCAAGTAACTGGGATTACAGGTGCCCACCACCATGCCCAACTAATTTTTTGTATTTTTAGTAGAGATGGTCTTTCACCATGTTGGCCAGGCTGGTCTCAAACTCCTGACCTCATGATCTGCCCGCCTGGGCCTTCCAAAGTGCTAGGATTACAGGCATAAGCCAACACGCCCAGCCGAGATCCTTCCCTTTCTTTGAAGGACTCCTGCCTTGGTTGTGAGCGCACAGACACCCCCAGTGTCCCCAGGCCTTGCTGGTGGAGGATTCCTGATGAACTTCTGCTCTGTTCTCCCAGCTCTACTGAGCTGAGTATTTGTTATCATCAACCCCCACCCCCTGAGAAGCTCCCTGGCCATTTTTCTTTCACCATTTCTAAATCTGTAACAGTCACCAGCCTACCTACTACGCAGATATGCCCGGGGTTTGCATATTTCACTCACAAATCTCAATCCATCTCAAGGAGTAAGGACATCTGGGTAATCTTCAACCTAAAAAAATAAACACTGTACTCAACCTAAGGCTAATTCTAGCTCTCACCAAGCTGGACAACTGTGCAAATCCACAGTAATTTCAGGAACAGGGAGACTATTTTTTGGTGCCAGTGGTGGTGAGGCAGGTCTATACACAGCATCATATTAAAGACTAATTTGATTCCTACATAAGTTTCATATTTTTTTGTTGCCATTGGCACCTACAAATCTACATCTAAACTGGGACAATTGGCTTCTAGTTTCATGAAACTGATTATGAGGAAACTGGCAAGAGAGAATGAATAGATCATTGTAAATTTGCTCTCAGTACTGGAAAAAAAAAATCTGATGATGTAAAACAAACAGCTTCAGAGACAGATGATCAGGGTGTCAACCCACATGGACACACCAAAGCCACAGGAAGACTCTTCACCTGGCCTTACATACAGCCTTCCCACAGAGCAGCAAAGCACACCCTCCTGGAGTACCCTCCGTTGAATCATGCATAAAACAAACAGCCAGAAAATAATCTCAGGGAAAATCATGGCCAGGAACCTAGGTACATTTATTTTTTGTTCTTGTTTCTTGTTTTGTTCTTTGTTGTTTCTCATAGAAAAATAAAGGAAATTAAACAGAAACCACGTGTATTCGTAATTCTAACATCCTAACAAAACCACTATAGTTCTCTGAATGCTCTTATCTAGATACACGTGTTTTGACTTTTGTCCCCACTGTCAATATTTTTACAATCACTCTGCCATGTGCTACATGGTCTTTATGGCTATGTAATGGTCATACCACAATTCACTCAGCCTCTACTTTATTGTAGGACATTTGAATTGTAAACTACTTAATTTGTTTGTTTATTTATTTTGCTGTCATAAATAACAGTGCTATGAACAGTTTTGTACATACAGCTGTGCTTTCCTTGAATTACTTCCTTATGATGCGTTTCCATGACAGAAATTATAATACTGAAGAGAACGGATTTTTAAATTGATTGCTTTTCATGTATGTTTGTTATAAATCAACTTCTCAGAAACCGTGTCGGATGCTTGGTTGATGTATACAACTACAGCCTCTACTTATGTGAAATAAATTGTATTCAATTATTCTGATAAATGGCTATTCGGATTCTCAAAGTAAGCAAAGACTTTTGCTTAAAACAAGTATGTAGTTTGTCCTCTAGCAGATAAAAGATGGTGTTTTAATGCATGGGTAGTAAAGAGCTATTTCAGAATAATGTTCTTAAAGGCTTAACTTTGATGACTGACTCCATTCCAGGAAGGATCTAGAAGTTGCTAGTTTCTTCTAGTATCCATTCTTTCTGGTATCCCTGGTTTTATTCTGAGCAACAAAATAACCAGCTGTTAATTCCCAACTTCTCTTTCAACTATGGGGTGGTGGGCAAATGAGTTTTAAGCCTAAGTCACTGGGTGGGACAGACAGCTAAGAGTGCACCTGGAAGGTAATTTACCTAGCTTGCCTTCTCCCCACCTCTCTTGCTTTTTCCTGTGCCTAGAATGTTTGTTACAGCTGAAATTTCAGCAACCATTTTAAAACCATGAGGATGGGAGTTATATGGCAGGGACAGAGTGAAAATATGACATCTGAATCATCCAAGACTACCTACCTGCAGTCTTATTTATGGAAGAAAAAACTTGGTATGTGCTTTAAGCCACTGTCATCTCAAGTCTCTATTACTAACAGCTGGACATGATCCCTAATTTACATAATGTTTGTCTAGGACACTGGTTTTCAAACTCCAGTCTGCATCAGAATCATCCGGAGACCTTCTAAAACACAGATTGCTCCCCACCGTTCCCTCTTTCTCATTAAAGGGGAGGGAGATTTGCATCTCTAACAAGTTCCTAAGTGAGATCGATGCTGTTCTAAACTATGCTTTGAGAACCACTGTTAGGATATCTTTCCTGAACAATATTTCAATATTGCAAGCATTAGGCTGATTTAGTATTTACAATTTTGCAATAAGAATACATACCTCTTGATCCTAAGACACGACAGTTAGAAGTTCAGAAATATTTTATATGCTGTTTTATATGCTTTCTCTACATTGTTGAAGAGGTAGCTATCTATATTTTTAAAATAATGACCAAAGTTGATGCATTTCTATAACTATAGGTCCTCCTAAAATTGTTTTCAACCACATTGCTGCCATACTTGGAACTATTTTATAAAATACAATGAAAAAGAAATGAATTTTGGAGGGTGTGAGTAACCTGAAATCATGGGGGTGAAATCTCGAGTTCAGACCTACGTGTAATTCTATAAAACAAAGATGTATGCTGGTGAGACGGCCTCTATCCAGCTAAGAAAAATTTTCCATGGGAAAAAAATTATGAACTCTAAGGAGAATACAAAGTGGTGCAGGTGTAGCTCGGCTAGAGATAAAGTTTACATGGCCAGGATCGTGTAAATGTTAAATATTGACCTAATCAATGCTACTGATATAATTTACAGGGAACATGAGGGGATAGAAAGGACGAATATGTTGGGTAGGGAGCGTGGGTGGGTATGAAAGACATCAAAATCATCTCAATGATGGGACTAGGTAGACAATACCTGTAACTGAAAAACTAAATAGAGGAATAGAAAGATGTCACTCCAATTTGTGGAAGCAAAACCAAAAGAACCACTTCAGAGAGTTACAACTAGTCACCTCCGAGGAAAGGAAAGGAGGAATGCTGATTCTGTTTTGCAACAAGCCTTGCAACCACGTCTTTAAACTTTGAAATAAAAACTGGGGAAACAAATAATTAACTGGTAAGGAAAAAGACCTGATCTGTGATCAGACTTCTTGTAATCTAATAGCTAGTGCAAAGAACCAGAAACCTGATAAGAGTGGCTACTGTTTCTGTCCGCTCAACCCTTCTTCCATGCCAGAATCTTCAGAGCACAAACAGCCCCCTCCCCGCCCTGAGGTGGTCAGGTGACCCAAGCTAGGCCAATTACAGCCTCTCACAGCCACGGCCACACTAATTGGTCTAAGGAGTGGGCACCTGATCTAAAGGCGGGGGCTAATCAGGGCTCTTGGGACTTTTTAAATTCCTGCCAGAGAATAAGAATCTCTTGTTCCTTTTTGTTTTTTAAATCACAGAACATAAGGATGTGGGCTTGCTAGCCCAGCACAGCTGTCTCTGTGTCCATACCCCACCACTTGGACAAGTTTGTATCAGCGAATTAATGTTCCAAAAGGAACAGGGAAGAGATAGAGAATGACAGAGAGGGTCCTCGAGATGTTCAAGGCAGTCAATCCATCATTGCTGACACCAGCTCCACCTGCCCTTAGGTTCATTTACACAGCCCCATTCAATCTCTCCTTTTTGTGTATTTACACAAGATTAAAGTTCATTTGTGGTCATAAAAACTACCTCGTAGTCATAATTCACAGTTGAATACCAAACAAAGCTTATGGAAAGTTTCAAGCAAACACAAGCAGAGAGAGAGAAGAGCATGATGAATCCCAACATCCTCATCACTCAGACCCGCTATTGTCAATATTTTGACAATCCTATTTCATCTATCCACCCCTCCACCCCATTTTCCCCCAGAAATATTTTAAAAGAATTCTAGATATCACATTATTTCACTTGTTAATAATAGATTGAACCATATGAAACTGCTGTTTTTGTAGGTCAAAAGTGGTCAAATATTGCCAATATTCTGTGTTCTGACCTAATATTTCAATAGTGTCAGGTCCAAGGCCGCGACTACACCAAATGTCCTGCTTGGGGTTGGGTTCCAGCCCCAGCTGAGGTCCAAGGCAAGTGGGTGGATGGGCGAATAGCTGAAAGAACTCTCAGGGGGCTGTAAGCAGGTGAAATGTAATTTCATTCAGCAGCTCTCTCAGCAGCAGCTCTTTTACGCTGTCTGCCTTTACCTCATCTGTCTGCTCTGGCTCTGCGGCTCCTGTCACTCTCGTGCTTGCAGCTGCACTCCCTGGCCTGCAAGGCCAGCCACAGGGTCAGCAGCTTAACTGTTTCCCTCTGGGCACAAGCCGGTTCCTGGCTCCCCCTCCGCCTGCCTTCAAGGCACCTGGCTGT